CCCCAAAACCCCAAAACCCCAAAACCCCAAAACCCCAAAACCCCTAAATGGCTCATAACCTTGAAAAAATTTGAAAATTATTATAAATGGATTCAGGCTATAATTTCTACAATAAGCAAGAGAGCAAAGACTCAGATGAAGATCCCTATTTTTAAGGATGAGGACAACCTGTTGTCTCCTAAAGAGCCAGAATTACTCTCCCCTCATAATGATCTGAAGGAAGCTAGGAAGTTGAATGAGAGTATTTTTAACAGAGCCCCAACCCTCAATGACAAAAATGATAAAGGGAACATTCTGAAGAATCTTGGTGATGATAAGTGACATGATATTGGTAAAAGTAACGAGTACTTTTCCAAAATTAAGACCATCGAATATTGCTCGTCCTTCCTGACCATTGCGAATATCTGGAATTGTATGATTCTATACGAAACTGACTATATTAATGAAGATGGGCAATATGATAAGTATATAGATACTCAACTTAATCTGTCAACTGCTTTCTCCCTCATGCTATTCTTCCTTGTCAACTTTAGGTAAGATTTTGAGTAATTGTTAGGTACTGGGTCGAGCTTAAGTGGAAGAAAACCAAAAATTTTGTCACACAAGAAGCAACTCTTTGGACAACAGGGTCGGTGAAATGGATGATTGCAGAAGGAATTATATCAATCGTAAGCCCTCATGGAATCTTTAAGGAATGGGAATTTGTAGAGAACAATCTTGATTATGAGACCAAGATTTATTACCCTGTGAACCATCTTCTGTGCAGTTTTATTTTCTTTAAGTCCTACGCCATTATGAGAACTTTATTCTTGACTAATAAATACTCAATGCCAAGATCTCAGAGGGTTTGAGCAATGACTGGTACTTATGCTAATGTAGAATTTTCTATTAAAGGGACGTTCAAGGAATACCCCAATACGAGCTTGGCCATTACTACTCTTATCTCAGCACTTATGTGTGCTCAGATGCTTAGAATTTACGAACGCCCGCTTTCAGCAGTTTCCGGTCAAAGATTTGACAAATATGCGACTTCAATTTGGAACATTATTGTAACAATGTCAACAGTAGGCTACGGGGATGTGTACCCCAAGACCATATTTGGACGGATCCTAGGAGCCTTCGTCTGCATATGGGGAGTTGTGGTTGAGAGTATGATGGTCGTCACTCTCTCTGAAGGATTAGAGCTCACCACTCCTCAAAGAAATTCATACACTCTTCTTCAAAGATTATTCTACAGAGATGATCTCCAGATGAGGGCTGTAAGAGCCTTGCGGTCTATTTTCTTACATAAGAAGAAGATCAAGGCCAAGAACTTGTTGTATAAAACAAAGAGGATTAACTTAAAGAAAAAGAGTTTGAAACTAGAAATGGTAAAAATCTAGTATTATCCTATAGACATTCAAGAGACAAATGTACAAGTTCAAGAAGAAGGAAAGCGAGATGAGAAAGTTCAATATGGCAACAGAAATCACCTACCTCTATAACAAGATCTATAACCTCCAGGAGGAATTTGAGAAGATCTGGAAGACCGACAAAGAAGTCAGACAGATCCAAAACGAAAGTATGAACAAGCTCCAGGTCTATTTTAATAAGAAGGCTTCCGATGATATGAAAAATAAGTTTAACTATACCTACAAACAGAAGGAAATGAGGATGACTGGACAGAGCTTCTTTGAGTCCCAACTGCAGACCTCCTTGCATTCAAACTCTAAAGACGTCGAGGAAGATAAAGAAGCTGAGTATATGAATTCAGTTCATGGCCAAAAGCTGCTCTAAGGTCTTAATTTGCATTAACATTTTAGAACATTATTAATTAATTGAGTGGTTATTGGGGTTTTGGGGTTTTGGGGTTTTGGGGTTTTGGGGTTTTGGGG